CCCAAGATGAAGAAAAGCATACCTTTCTCGGCCTTTTGGCTAAGATCAAGTGTAGTATCTGTTCTTATCAGTTTAATATCTGATATGTAGGCCATTGGCCTACACGATATTAATCTTATTTTTTATGGGAAAGACTGTCACAATAGCTTGCTATTGGGGTCTTTGAGAGTCGCCTTGGTGTTGCACTATTGCCTTGGCTTGGCTCACCCCTCCAATTCTAGTTCAAAAATGAGCTTTGTAGTTGAAGTTTAGAAGCAGTGCTTCCACATTTAAAAAACCATTAATCTAGAAAAAAGTTTTGAGTTTTCAAGTTGCTTATATACAATCTACTGCATTGTGTAGTAGTTCAATATGTACCAGCATATTTACTGTTTTTGGAAACTAAACCTGGACCTGTTTGGTTAATATCTAATGCGTGCCTAAACGTATGTGAAGTTTTTGTACGTCCACAGCCCCGTGCATGCTGCATAGCCCTTCACATAGGGTCCGATTTCGCCCCACATTCTGAGCCACATCTAATTATAGATGGCACATGGATAAATTAAGTAGGTCTTAGCACCCAAAAGATTGGTGACCTCTAACATGGTCACTTGAAGTAACATCATAAATGTGAACATTGTGTTAACCCACTTTTGTCATTTTGGTTTCCACTTTTCATTATCTACATAAATAGCATTCTTGCTTATTTTAAGGGCTGTGATGTATAAGAAAAAGTGATAAATATGATACTAAAGAATCTGCCAGTTTTCCTCATACTTGCCAAGTCAGTAAAAACTCAAAAAACAGCAAAGCAAAGATCAGGTATAGTATTTGTTCTTATTAAGTTGATATGTTGGTTATCGATCCACTCGATATTAATCTCATTTTCAATGGCGAAAGGCCTGTCATAGCTTTTGCTATTGAAGTCTTTGAGAGTCATGTTGGTGTTGCATTACAACCTTGGTATACCCTTATAGCGAATTCCATTCACATAAACTAGTCAGGTGTTACTAGTACTCGGTTAAACTAGTGAGGCCTAAACCACTTGGAAACCTGGCACGGTGTCCATATCATCTAAATCCTTTTGGGTGTATCTTGAAAGCACAAAACTGTATGGATCCCCTCCAACTGGGACTTGTACATCCATCTTCAATCCAGGATGGTCAAGAAAATGGATGCATAAGAATGGAGGTGATCAATAATGGTATGAAAAAATTATATCAAGTATTGGACAGTTCTCTGTATAATTCAAATAAATAGAAAGCTGCTAAAAACAGAACACAACATAAAATTATGGTATGTTAGAACTGGCGGATAAACTTTTTGGTGAATTCTAAGAAATACATGGGAACGGAAAGGAGTGCATATGAAAGCTTAAGTAAGCTCATTTAGATGAGAGGGGATCCACTACAAAAACGAAGATCCAAGAAGATAGAAAGCATACCTTTCTCAGCCTTTTGGTAAGATCAAGTGTAGTATCTGTTCTTATCAGTTTAATATTTGATATGTGAGCCATAGGCTCACATGATATTAATCTTATCTTTTATGGGGAAAGATCCATCACCATAGCTTGCTATTGGGATCTTTGGGAGTCGCCTTGGCATTGCACTACTGCCTTGGCCTGGCTCACCCCTCCAATCTTAGTTAAAGAATATCTATTGCATTTGGATTCCTGAAAGGTCACCACAGGAGCTTGTTGATTTCCATCTCTCATTATTCCTAAAACCTTTCCTGGACACAACATTGATGCATGTCAATGTAAGCTGAAACGGTTTTTCAGCTGCTTATTGGTCAAGTGCATTTATGTCAATGTAAGTATCATCAATCTTACATATTCTCGAGAAGAAGCAGATTATATTTATTTGATTGTCGTGTTCAAAGTTACAGAAAATTTTCATGATTAACAATCTGAACTTAGAACTCGTAGAAGGCGAAAAGGAAAGAACAGAGTCCAAAACTGATGGTGAAGGACCTTTTAAGCTTTGACGGTGCTTTGTTTCGTGGAGCATGGCGATCACGATTCATATTTGCATCACCACCGGTTGGGCCATGATGGCCTTTTTGTCCTTCTTTCAGAATACATTCACCCCTCCCAAGTGTAGTATCTGTTCTTATCAGTTTAATATCTGATATGTGGGCCATTGGCTCACTCGATATTAATCTTATTTGTCATGGGAAAGACCCATCACAATAGCTCGCTATTGGGTCTTTGAGCGTCGCTTTGGTGTTGCACTATTGCCTTAGCTGGGCGCACCCATCCAATCTGAATTAAAAAATAATCACTGCTTGCAATCCAGTTTGTGGAGCAAAGCAACTATGTGCAAAATCCCTCTTTTCTCAGCTTAGCGAAGCTCCAATAGCATGTGCTGACCAGTGATGCAAATAGAGAAGCTATTTTTTGAAGCAAAGAGTTTTGTTTGAAAAGTGAAAGTATATCACATATATGAAGATCGACTACTCCCATTACATATATGTGTATGCATACCAATACCACAGAGTCATAAAAGCTGGATGGCCTTTAAGTATATTAAGCCCTTTAAAGTTAGAAGCACTTCTAGGGCCTTTTGGTATAACAAAGATACTCAGATGGCATCGTAAATGGAATAGAATCTGTGAAACAGAATATACATAAGAAACCGTATCAATAAAAATGAAATATATCTAAAGCATAAGATTGACCGATCTGTCTGATCATCTCAAGACCACCATGATCCTATAGATGTAACCTGCAAATCAAAACCAGGTTATAAACAATGATACAAATTTTAATGGAAAAAGAGCAGCAAACATATAGAAGATGTTGAACCAGTTGTACAAGTTTTGAAACCTACTGTACAAAGCTTTCATGCAGAAGGAAGGGTGTTC